GGTTGTTTACTGTTTGCTTAGCATTGTGACCAGATTCGATCTCCTGGTGCCGACGCGCGATCTCGGCTTGAATGAGCTCTTCCCTGAGCGATGTAGGGTCTTGTGTTTGATGTTGTACCGTTGCGTTGAGCGGGTCTACGGCATTGAAGACCACGACGCTGTCTTCCGGCACTAAGAAAGACTTGACGATATCGCTTTGGTCGACGATACAGCCTTTGTAACTAATGCGAACACTGTTAAGATCATGCCGTCTCTCGTAAGTATCCTGAATCTTCTGAATAGGAATTTTCTAAAAGCAGGTCAGCGAATGGGCGTGGTACTGCATCGGCGCATTCTAGGTATATTCCGCGCGCATTGATGCCGCCAAAACATCTTTATCTCGGAACAGGGAAGGCTGTAGAGCTTACATTGTGGCCTATCATCCATAAGAAATCGGTTTCCTTGAACTCATCCTGGGTGGACTTGCGGTGATCGAGCACACCAATCCAGCACCGGCGTGCTTTAAGCTCCTGTTGTGGTACAACACGCTTGGCGCGTCGATGAAAGTCGTCCCAGTCCATGGCTAGGCTATGCTCAGGAGTGAGATGCTGCGGCAGTGTACTGATGTATGCAGAAGCTGATTTGACGCGTTAGGCGGGAGCTACCCACGGGTGCTTGCAGCTTGCGAACTAGCGATGGCGGGGTTGGCGGGGTTTGCAGGATGGTGTGACTGAATGCATTGAAGCATTGGCCAGCTGTTCGTCGCTAGTGCGTGTAACGGTGAATGAGGAGATTGAATGTGTTGGATGTGACCAACGGTCCCTGAAGAGCAAACAGCGGGGCAAACGCGTCTGAACACGCTAAGACACGCCAGCACATGACGCCAAGCCTCTCGACGCGTCCCGATCTCGCTGCCGTCCTTTCGTCCGAAACTTCACTCTGTGATTATCATAACATCACAACCGTAATGATTCTACGCGATCATTGTATTTTTGAAGCGCAGGCTTTGCTCCCTTCACAAATTCTAGTATTCACACATCTCGATCGTTACCTACCTATACCTGCAGTTCGTCACCACGACGCGATCTATTCACGACAGGAATGGAAGCCTAGGACAGCACTTATACAGTAAATTGAAGCTGTTTGCAGTGTCGCACCTACTGGATCGTTTACCTGGATATGTTGCGAAGGTGCGAAGGTGCGAAGGTACCAAGGTGCCCCAGCCACCCACATACGCTCGGGACGACAGCGTTATTGCTTACGCATCTGTCAGCCATGAGGCGCGCCCAGTCTCTCAATGCGCTCAACAAAATTGGTTCCAGCCGGCTCAGGCACATGTGCGCGCACGTAAAGCGGTCGTTATTACATTCGTCTCTCGACTTACCCACATGCCACTGTCCGAATCTACTTCGAGGAATCGATGGGTGCCGCTGCACAATGCGTCCGTTTACCACCCCGGTTCACAATGATCAAGTCTTTTTTACGATGACTTTCTCATGCTTACCACAATGTTTGTCGAACTTATAGGAACGAAGTGTTGTTTCTGCATTGTTCTAGTCTGGCCACTCTTCTTCCTAGCTGACAGGCATGTCGTTCATTTGACTCACCGCTTTGTCTCATTATGTCGCGGTTGACTCTCCACAATGGTCATGCATCCACTATGTATACTTCATTGGATTATGGCGAGTACGGGTGCGCAAACACCCATTCCATATCCGCAAACGATGACGGAGCAGACGCCGCTGCGACAGAAACGTGTCGCCCCAGAAGCCAACCCCGGTATCAACGGATTGATCGCAGCATGCAACAAAAACGACAGGTTCAAACTTTTAGAAGACGAAAGTGTTCTGCCTGGAAACTTGCGCAATCCAATCCATCCGACGTTGAGTTGGTTCGATAGTAACGGGCCTATGCGGCAGATGCTTCGGTTGGCATCACATTTTCTCAGCCACGACACCGTCCTCGCTTTCTTTGTACCGCTTCTATACGGACGCGACTTGATAGGCATAGTTGAGGATGCGAAGAAGACTTACCTCTCAGACCCGCTCGCGAATGCGTCTGAAGAGAAACGCAGTCAATATCTGGCCGGAGTGCGTGAGGCTTTGCATTGCCTTGGGCACAGCGTTTCCTTCCACTTCCTACCGTCTGCGAAGCGAGTATACGCCCGTTCGCTGCGCGACAATACAATTCCACACCATGTCGCGTCATGTTGTCCGGCGTTTCAGCGCAAATTTTCTTGTAGGATTGAGATGGCGGACTGGTTGCATAACTTTTATTCAACTGGTGAGTACGAAGCGGCGTCGCGATGTGCGCAGTTTCGACACGATTTCCTCTTCGCTGCAACACTCGTGCATGAGATTACTCATGCTGTGGGGATATTGCGACGAGGCAATACAAAGGAGCCGCACATCCGAGCTGACTGTCCAGAAGCTGAGTGGGGCTATGGCTGGGAGCACTTCATGTTCGGCACCGTAATCAACCCTCAAGACTTGTCGGGACCAGGCACTCACCTTCTCATGCGTAAGATATGGGTAGATCGAAAGACGGCCAGCCAAAATGGAGGTAAGGAGTACTGCGATGTACCCATATCGTATATAGCGCAATGGTTTCGCAACGAGACATGGAGCATTGTAGCCAAGTATGGGCCAGCTGCCGTTGCAGCACCAATCACTAATTTCAAGATACGACTGTCGGACCAGCGTGGGGCCTGGGTAGTGTCAAGTGACCATCCAGAGATCGAGAAAGATCTGAGAACGCTGCAATCTCAGTGGCGAAATCGCTCTTTGATTCTAAGTCCACAAATAGGGTCGTCATCATCACCAGCTGCTCGTTCGCGTTTTGCTAAGATATTCTGGCACCTTGTAACTAAGGCACAGTTGCAGAAGAATAACGCACCGGTTCCACTTCGCACTTCTATTATATCGCGGGCTGATACGAGCCCCACGCCAAAGCTCGCTCAGACCATACGAGCATGCTACAAGCCAACAAAGAGACATGCTCTTGTAGGAAACAGACTAGACTACCCTGATAGCTGCGATATGTCTCGAAAGCGGCGCGCAGAGTCACGAGACGAGTACCGCCGCGTCAGCAAAGCAATGAAGCGGTAAGCTGTGGCAGCGACCCGAAAACCCTAGGACGAGCTTCAAAGTTCGTAGTTATCCCATGGAATATCATTATGTTAGAGTGAGCGTAGCACAAAGTCTATACCGATTCCGGAACGAAGTAAAGTTCTAGACTTACAAGCGCGCACACACACGTGGTGCGGTCTCAACTACTCATCCACATCATAAGTGATGTAGCATATGACGAAGTCTCAGCCAACACAGTATATAGGTCTCAGTTTAGCAAACCGTAGTAGTCACCTGTAACGTCTCACCCGTGTTTCTCTCACTTCGTGGACGCTTGCTCGTCATGCCAATATAAGAGACTCAGCCCCAGCCCCTAACGTACACTCCTCTTGATAGACTATTCCAACCAAAGCTAAGATCTTCAGCGTTTCAGATGCCTGATAAAACGTCACTTCCCATGCGGGACACATATGTTCATGATCTGATACCCGTCGCAATATGCTCCGCAGCAGATCCTTGCCACATTTGTTGGGAAAGTTACACCAAATGTCACGAACCGGTTCTTCTGCGTCCTTGTGGGCACATATTCGGTAAGCCATGCATACAGGAGTGGTTTCGAGAAGGCGCGAATACATGTCCACTCGACAGAAACAAGCTTTTCATGTCAACAACGGATGTGGAAGAGACCGAAAGCTGGTCTCTCGTTCCGTTCGGCGCTTTACGAGACCAGGGTGGAAGAGACGCGCCAGCCAGTGATAGAAGAGGTGGAATGGCCAACAGAACGCATGCTGCACCGGAGCAGTATTTGTTCTTCGGTGGCGAGATCATTGGGATAAACAGTCGCCTAACACTTGAAGGCTGTCGTCGCGTCGTTCGCGATCTCTGGTATGTAAGCAACCATCTTTACCATCAGATGCGTAACCATGCCGATGATCACGACCCGCTATCCGTCAGCGAAGACACGCTCAGAGAGTCGATACATGATGCGTTGCCTCGCGGTATCGATGTAGATGACCACGCTTGGCCGCTACTTTTCAGCATGGCAAGGAGTATGCTCACATCGCGAGGAATGGCCTGGGAACACGGATCGGAGGCAAATTTGCGTAGGGAAGATATGATGGGTTGGGGAGAGGAGCTCTGGCGCGTGTGTGGGGGTGTTCAGAACCGAGATTAGATAGAGATGCAGATAATGAGCTTCAGGTCGGCCAATATTCAGTGTGTTGCTGGTGGCTAGTCATATAAGAGACGTCTGAGGGTTTCGCTTCTGATGTTCTCATTTGCTTATGTATTCCAAGGTTGAAAGTTCCAGGTTCGCGGTCACTCAGCGCGGCGGCGGGAAAGCTCGAACTAGCCAGGTACCAGCGGACCATCCCGAGATCTCTTTGCACTCAACGAAGATGCCTGAAGACTCACATTAACAGTACAATGCACCTGGTATTCGACGTGTTGTGCCGGACAATAAATGGCAAGTTCTTTGGCTCCCAAGGGCGTGACAGATTTTGTGCCGTTCTGAAGTTTCCATCGAAGCTACGGAATTTCTAGAACACCACCACTGGGCACGGACTTCCACCCTCGCCGTCACCAACTCGCTCCCCACCTTTTGCTCTAAACTCTCCAGTTGCTCAAGATTCCCGAGTACTACCACCAAGTCTCATACAGTAGTCGCCTGGGTCCTATCCAACGACGTCCACTTGCACTTTTCGCACTGCGCAGGCGCACACGTGGGCCCGACGCCGGCCGCTACCCGGTCAAAATCCTCACCGCTGGCTTCACTTGGGTCGCGCGACAATAGCAAGACTTGAATACTTACACAACCCGCACCTTATCTATTCAACTGTATTCACTCCACGGTCACCGTGGTCAGATAAGTCCGCAATAGCTCGGCTCCCACATACCCAACGCTGTTTCCTATCTTCCACCCAAACCAAAACAGCTTTCGTCAACACTACGACCATGGCGCCCACATACAGCATGCCGTACACTCCCGCTGATTACGTCGCTTCCGAAGCACTACTTCCTGAGGAATTCTTCGGTTATGCCGACATCCCAACTCTAGTGAAGATTCACGAGGTTCTATGCAATAGCGAAACACAGGATGACGTCGAGCTCGCTACGTGGATACAGGAAAGATATCTCAGCGCCCCCAGGAACGCTTCCGAAACAGAACTGATGCGTACCGCGCAGGAGTTCGGCAGATTGGACAGGGCTTACCGTAGGGTGAGGTCTCTTAGTGGCAAAACCCAGGACAAATGGCCAATTCTCGACCTACATTTCAAGGAGATGTCATCAGCTATGGTTCGAAATAACGCGCGCAGTGAAGCCGCTCCCGGAGTTTTGTTCTCAATTGACGGATTGCAGAAGAAAGCTTGTCTAGCTGGGCAGCCGCCCAACGGATTTGTCACCCCTGATGGTAAGTAAGCTCTCGCCCAATCCTGCCTGCAAATACTGACTTTTGCTGTTACAGCCTCCGCAGGACCAAAGCTCCAAGTGCCGTTTACAAACAAGCCTAGCCGGTACCAACCAGACGTGCAGACTTACCCACGTCCGACACGGCAGACTCCTGTACCACTTCCTTCCAACGTTACTTCCAAATCATCTGGAGAGCGGAGCTCTGAGAGCCAGACCGTACCTCCCGTTCGGTCCCAGATTCCTGCAGCCTCTTCACAGAGCATTCCGCAGCATACAGGTATAGTACCATCACCTAATTCACCCAATCTCGCTTGATTACCTCACTTTAACCCACATCGCATGGCTCACTTTCGCTTTTGCTTCCTTCATCATGCTGACAAAACGCTAGATCTTGCCTCACAATCGGATGTTCATGCAATGTCTCAGACCGAGCCACCCCCATCAGGCTTGCCTAAAACCGAGGAAGCTCTTGGCCAAACCTCACCTAACGACAAGAATGGCGCTCTTCTATCAAATCCCATAGGCGGTATCATATCGCGCAACATCAGCTCCAACCCCAGTGGGGACTTGCAGGCAGAGTCGGCAGTACGAGATGCGGGCGCGGGTAAGGTTCGCGGCCCAAATGGACGCTACCTACCCAAGGACGATGTCGAGCCAGAGACCAAAAAAGCTAAGAAGCCGAAGAAGGCAGTCAAGCCCCGTACGGGCTTGAGAAATATGAAGAAACAGGAATCACCTGCACCAAACGCAGTCGGCGAAAAAACCGAGACTGCACCAGCCGAAGATGAAGATCTGATGGCAGATGTCCAGCCGCCTTCGCCTCCAGTGTCTAGCCATGAGGTCGAGGAGATGAATGGAGTGGAAGATGTCACATCTGTCAATCCAGCTTCTGAGATCGTCGTACCATCCACAACTGATCTGGCTACATCCCCTACAGCCGTAAACGAGCAAGAGGCCGAGATGGAGGAGGAAGTAGCGTCTGGCTCGGGATCTGCCTCTGCGTATCTTCTTGCAGCTGCGGCTGATCCAGTACCGTCAAACTTGGACAAGCTACCTCCTAACTCTAGGAAGTCCATCAAAAGAAAGAGCGAGCCAACTGCCACGTCTGGAGACCGTAAGCGGGGTAAACACGGCGGAATAGTCGGCCGCCCAAGGAAGTCCGAGCAGCAAGGAAGCGACACATCAGATCAAGCGCCAGTTCAGCAAGAAGATGAGAACGTCACAAGGACAGAAGATCCACCTCAGATGGTAACGCGTCGAGCCACGCGACGCTCTGCAGCCGCAAATCTGAACGCTTCCGAAACCAGCAAGCCAGATGCGACGTCAACGGCAAACTCTCCTATAAAGGCACCAGTCGACCAGCCGCTCTCAACTTCGAAAAAGCCATCGAAATCCAAACGAAACCCAAGAAAACCATCCGCTCCCGACGAAGACGAGATTATGAGTGGGACCGAAGATGGCGCAACGGCTAGTCGTGAGGAGACTCTTAAGCCTACTCCCATTGTTAGAGAAGCCAGCTCTACGCCTTCATACGCTTTGGGAAGCGTTGCAACCTCGCAGCTTCCGGATAATCATTTCTTGAGCATCGGTATTAGCAGGACCAGCTCCCCCGCCCTTCATCCTCAGCCGTCTTCGCACCAGCCCTATCAATCACCTTATCAGGCGGTGCCACCAACGCCACCACCTACAGTTGTTGCAAAAGCGCCCCTCATGAACGGCACAACATCAAAGTACCCGCCAGGTCACGTGGAATATCTCGCTCGCATCACTACAAGCAACGGCAGCACAATGGACTTACCGATCGAACAAAACCAAATCGAGAGCACAGAGATGGAGGTGATCAAGAGATATGCCGAGTACAACGCTGTACCCAACGCGGTGCCAGTATTGTATCCTCAGTTCCGGAATATATGGGCTTTTGCGAAAAAGGACTAATGCGGAGAAGGGATACTATGGGGAACTTCAGGCTGCACTGGACGCGGTGACTGTACGGATAGCATAGGCATGAAACTATTACAATAACAATGATCATCGTTGATTCTCATGATATCCAATCCTCCTCATTTCCAGACTTCAATGGTGTCTCTCCTCTTCCTTAACCACTTTCCTGCCCCTGCCATCAGCGTCTCCGCCTCTGCGGGCCCCTCCTATCGTACGGCTCAAACCTTCCATACCTTCCACTGCCGGTATAACTCCAACCACTGTCGCCGCTGCCGTGGATTTGGTTGTATCGTGTCTCGCCGCGACGGGCTCCGGGCTGGTGCGAATACATGCGGTCGGGGTGGAAACCGCCACCGTTATTTGGGTCTTGAAGCGAGTTCTGGTAGGGGTAGTACGAGCGGCCGCCTGGAAACATGATGTTGAGTGGGTTTTGGTGGATATATGTGTGGGTGTTCGGTCTTAAGCTTTGGGGGCTGGCTGTGGTTGCTTTGTCTGTTGGGTGCAAGCTGAAAAGTACTAGTAATTGTTTTGTTAGATGCTGATGTGCTTGATATGATGGATGAGTAGAAAGGAAAGGCAGAACCTTGAGGATTTATATACGAGGACTGGATTGATGAATAGTCTACTGCGACAGCCAGACATGGACTCGATGCGTATTCTGTGTGACTTGGTGTCTGGTGCGTGAGTTGACACAGGTGTTGCCGAAATTCTATAAGACCACATCTTGTATAGCGTGATCGTAGGTCGTGGGAAATTTGGTCGCTGTCCGATATTATTGAATTCAGCGGCATCCGTAATGCCACCTCTCTTCACCTTGCGCTCCCTGACAGTGCCTCAAGCTGACACCCACCCTTGCCACGTCCTTTCCATGTAGACGCATGCTTAAAAATACCCTCGGGTCGTGATGCACTGTAACAGGCTTTCGTGTCGATGGACCGTTGGTGTAGAATGATTGTTGCGACAGACTGATTTGAAGAGACGCGCCGCGATGGCGAACAGTATCTAGGTAGCTGATGTGGTGCGATAACCTCTCCAGTGTGGTCACTCTCCATGGACTCAATACTGTCCATGCAAAGCAGAGAATTGCATCGGATTCCATGCTCAATGACCCGTTGTAGAAACGTCTCGGAGCCTCGAAATTGTTCGCCGACGCGTCGTCTACGTCATCGCTGAGCGCACCACGCGCCGAATCCGTTAGCCTAGAGGCCACCAGCCACCACAATTCCCTCATGTCAAACACTAGACAATGTCAGCACGATACATGCGCGTCTTCTACATCTCAGCCCCCTAGTCGCGAATCATGATGATCACAACAGAGTGTCTAGAAACCGAGTCCAATGACGACAATCTGCAGCTCCGAGGTCTGCAGCTCTATGCCCCCTCGCTGGGGCTCTTGCGGCAGGCGGGAGACGGCAAGCGTACCGAAACGGAGGTTATCCGTACGAGCATGCCAATCAACGCATCGATCGCGCGCACATTGAGCCATGCTCACGAAGAGTTTCGCTTACCGTGAACTTCTGCAAGATGCTGACATGCAGCAAGAATGTTCAACGACGTGCAACCTTGGGCTTTGTGCCACGGTCGACATCAGCCTGCAGCGACGGTGACACCTTTCCCGACCGCTCATACTTTTCCAAGCACGAACAACAGTCAAAATGAGATGTCCAGGGATCTTGTTGGCGCTTGCGCTCTTTGTCGCTGGATCTGGCGCTGAGCCTGTACCGCGGGCTGTGAAAGCACCCAGGGTTGATCTAGGCTACGCTGTCTATGAGGGGCGTTATGATGCCAATACCAGCATCAATATCTTCAAAAGGTAATCTTCCGTCTGAGATCTCCCTAATCCTCCAAGAGTTGACCTTGCGCTGCAGTGTTCGGTACGCAGCGCCACCACTCGGCAATCTCAGGTTCGCCGCTCCTGAAGCCCCTGTGCGAAACAGAAAGATAGCATCAGCTTTGAGCGATCCACCAGCTTGTCCGCAGACTGGCGCCTCTTCACAGACCCCAGCGGCTTATGGCTTCACCTCCGCGATCGGGAACGAGGATTGCTTGTTCTTGAACGTATACGCGCCGGCTCACGCGAAGAACCTGCCTGTCTTCTTCTGGGTTCGTAAGTCATCTTCCAAGCAATGCACAAAACGTAGCGGACCTCGTTAACAGGATCAAGATGGTGGAGGATACGGGCTATTCAGCGCCTCCGGGCTAGACCCCAGCGAATTTATGACCACCAATAAGAATGACTTCGTCAGCGTCATAATTCAGTACCGCCTGGGCGCTTTCGGGTTCCTCTCGAGTCCAGAGGTGAAGCAGCATGGTGCGCTCAACGCTGGGCTCCTCGACACGAACTTTGCATTGAAGTGGGTTCAAGCCAATATCGCCAAATTTGGGGGCGATCCTAGCAAAGTCACTATTGCAGGCGAGAGTGCAGGAGCGAGCGCTGTTCTCTATCAATCTCAAGCCTACAGTGGGCGGCAAAAAGAAGACCTCTTCCGTAATGTTATCACAGCGAGTCCATGGGTACCCTATCAGCACGATTATGACGATGAACAGCCCGCAGAAGCCTATGCGGCGTTCCTTGAAGCATCCGGCTGCTCAAAAACGAAGGAAAGCATGAAGTGCCTCCGCGCAGCGGATACCATCGTTCTTCAGAGTGCCAGCGCCAGAGTTTCGGAAGCTGGACCTTTCGGTGCCTTCGCTTTCTTGCCAGTAACAGACGGTACATTTGTCCAGGACCGCCTCTCCACAACCCTTACTTCAAAGTCGCTAAAGGGAAGGCGTATCTTGTCGGGTAACATGGCAAACGAAGGCGTGCCACTTTCGCCTCCCACCGCACGCACGCTGCAGGACTTCCAAGACTACATTGATCTGACATTTCCCGACTTCTCTGCATCCGACAAAGCCCGGCTGGAAAGAACATACTCGTTTCCTGGGGATGACCTTGACGTGAAGCCCAATGCTACGCGCTTCGCTACATCTGGTACTGGTCTACCCACGGCACTCAACATGAGTGAATTCGGGACAGGAAATCAACAACGCCTATTCAATGTCTTTGCAGAGTACGCCTTCGTCTGTCCAAGCTACTGGGCCGCTGGAGCTTTTACAGAAGGCTGGAAATATCAGTTCAGTGCGCCTCCGAGCTATCACGGGTATGATCTACAAGCATTATGGAGCGGAACTCCAACCCCCGGCAAAAGCTTCAAACACGCTTTCCGTAAGATATGGGGCAACTTCATTACGAAGAACTCGCCGGTGATAAGTGTTGAAGACGCGAAGGGTGGCGTCACAAATTCGACGGTTCCGCGTGCGATTGGGTACGATTCGAGTGACATTGCTTGGCCAAAGTGGAACGAAAATCAGCCGGTACTACTGAATATGAACGCTACAGGCGGCATCCCTTCCTTCGTGCAAGCGACGGACGACCTTTACTACTACGTTTATAGCGATCCAGGCGTCAGCAACCAGATCAGTTTGGCCGATGCAAATGCATGGGAGGGTGGAAGGGGCAGACGATGTGAGTTTTGGAAAGCTTTGGCAAGCAAAGTACCATATTGACAGGTGGAGACGTGTATGGGCTTGATTGTGAACTACGCTATATCGAAACTACAATCCCAGTCGCTGGTCCATCGCGGCCAAAGATGTACCCAAGATTGACCCGCTTACACACCGTCATTGAACTCGTAGTCTTTGTCCCATCGCTATGCTGGTCAACAAAATGTACATTTATGTGTACATCGTACTTACAGTGTCCCATGGCTTGCTGCCATCGACGAATCTCAGATCAGTACCAACCCTAATCACGTTGTTTGGATCGTGATTCAATGTGGATGCGTGTATCTCACTACTGTTAGCCAAGATATACGCCAGCTCGAGCCCCAGAGTACCTACCGCAAACGGGTTGTGGAGGACTACGTCGCCCGCTTCGTAGTTTGTCACCAACCAACGCCTGTCAAAGGTGTCAGAATACTCTCGTGGACCGTCAGCGAGCAGCCCTGTTGATAGCATGTTCTGGTTGAAAGCGTTCCTTGTTTCTTCCTCGCTCAATCCACTTTCTGCTGCCTTTCGGTTGAAATCTTCCTCTACTTCACGGCCAAGCGTATGGCCTACCAGACTCGTTAACCTTGCTCAATCCTCGATCCCGAAGTAGAGGACTCACCGTTCTCCAAGTAAATCAAGCCTCCTCCAGTCAAGCTTACATCGCCCATGGGTACCCAGGCAGTGACACTCGTCGGTTCGCCATGCCGAAGGAAGATCTGATCATAATGTACGCCAATGGCCTTGTTTCCTGGTGTATTGTTGCGCAATAAGCTTCTACGGACTCCCAGAGTGTTGTCGCCCCAGTTGGTCATACGAGCAATGAAGTCTTTGAGTGCCGGGTGCTTGCAGAACGTCTCTTTGTACCAGTCTGCATAATGCGCTTCGAGCGCCAGACTAACAAATTTCTCCGCCGTCGCTTCTCCTGGCTTTCCATTTCCAGGGGCCGCACCAGCGCCAATACCAGGGAAGTCTGCCGCGTCCTTCTCAGGATCGAATATGCCATCTACTGGCTGGGTGCCAGGTTTCAGCACGCCGCTCGATGCGAGCGACGTGAAGTACTCCTCCCGGGCTTTGAGGACATCGCTCCTCGGTAGTAACCCCTTGAGGAAGACATATCCATCTTCATTGTAGCGCCGACGCAGCTCATCCATGGGCATATCTGGAGACGATTCCTTCAATTTTCCGACCTGACCTGGTCGAAGCAACCCGTCGTTCACGAAGAGTTTCTTGCCATCAAAGCTCGGCACGTCTTGCTCTGGTGATAGTGCATGGGGCATGATGAATAATGTGATGAAGTAGCAACGAGCTTCGATTTGTCTGCACAGAGAGATACTCAGGTAATATCTAGGTGTTCAGCTTACTGTCAAAATCTTCCGGCAAAGTAAACGTGGTGTAAGCCTATCGCCACTGCCGTGACTGTACACGACAGACGAGTGTGCCGGGGAGACTTACCCCTTTTGTCCCTGCCAAGCTGTGGGGTAGGAAGCGGGGCTAGTCGCCGCTGTGACACGCTATCTTGATTTTCCGAAGCCGCGACGCGATCACCAAAGCCCGTCCTTAGTAACCGGCGGAACATGGTTGGACACGACTCTGCTCATCTCGGCGGGCATTCCTCGTCCTGGACCCTTTGTGCATCGTTATCGCGCGTGTCCCAGCTTCGTAAATTAGCCCGCACACGCATCCTTCGCGTTTCCACGACCACGTTAAGGTTTATCGCAAATGCCATGGTACGAGACTTCGCATCCTTTGCGCACGACCTGGACATCGCTTAACCGTTCGTAGCAATCGATGCCGCACGCGTCATTATCGATGTAAGCTTTGAGCCTCGAGCTAGTGGTGCCGACATACTGATGACGCTATGATAGGTGATGGCAAGCAGCCGGCGTGTGCAAGGTGTGCGCAGGCGAAGAAAGAATGCGTCTACGAAAGCGGTAGACGGTTCCGGCGGTCGTCAATCTCAGATTCGTTCAGTGTTGAACAACCTTGGGTGTCGTACCCTCCACGAAGTAAGAATTTACCCGAGTCCGTTGCATCTGTCGCTGACACAATTTGGCAGTCCAGTTCTTGGACGAATCGAGCGAAATTCGCTCTCAATATGTGCAAGATGGCTACTCTCCATTCGACAGCCCTTCAGTTCATGCGCCATCACCCAGTTGCACCCCTGGAAGTGCTCCGGGTACCGCTTTGACTCCAAACTCAACCTTGTTCACCCCTACGGAAAACCTCACAGTTCTGTCGTTACTAAACTCTGAATCTCCTGTGCAGCACCAAGCACCTGCGCCTCCAGCATTACATGGCCAACGAGCCAACACGAGCACATACCAGCCACATCATGAAGAGGGCGCTAGTACCTTTGTGTATCAACAGCCTCCCGGTGAGCCTGTGCTATGGCCGTTAGAGCATGAGCAAGAAGCAATGCTTCTGCAGCACTACATCGAGAACGTCGCCTTGTTTGTGAGTACTTTTATCCGGAGAAAGGCCTATTATTGACAAAAACAAGTTCGACATGGTAGACACCAGAGATCATTTTGGTGTTCACATCGTCCAGATGGCCAAGCAGAATAGTACCCTGATGTATGTAGTGTGCCTACTGAGGATATGCGTTGGCAAGCAACTGACCACCACTCTCATTCAGGAACGCCATTCTTGCGCTATCTGCTCGTCAGCTCAGTCGAACCACCGATTTCGACCCTTACATCGCAGATGCCTACTATCAGCGATGCTTTGACACGCTGATTCCAGCGCTGAACGACAACGTCACCATCAAAGAGGAGCCATTGCTTGCTGCGACCGTCATCCTGCGGCTCTTGGAAGAGATGAACATCTCGATTATCGGCTCCGACCCCCAGGGCCATTTGTTCGGCACCCAAGCTATTATTCGCGCTGCGGAACAGTCATACGCTGCGACATCTGGACCTGATCGGCGGCAGGCTATCTACTGGGCTGCTTTCCGTCAGGAACTGTGGATCTCACTCATGACGCAACGCGCGTTCAAATTACACATCTTCCCCGCTGATCGCTCACTCGAGCCGGCTAACGACTCCATCTGGGCTACACGAACGATTGCTCACCTCGGTGACGTGAGTAACTTCGTCTTTGGGGAAGGTAGAAACAGCATTGCCCGCTACAACCAACTGATGGACGAGAACAGATCCTGGACACAGTGTAGGCCTGACAGCTTCGACCCATATTATTTTCGGCAAGATCGAGACGGTAGCGGGAGAAACTTCCCGGACATTCGCTTCCACCAAAAGACCCACGTTATGGGCACCCAGTATAACCTCTTAGCTCATATGCTGCTGATTGTACATGATCCGACAATTCCACAACTTGGACCAGCACACAAAGCATCACGCGCTATTGTGGACAGAACCGTTCAAGACAACGTCCGCACACTATGCGGAGTGGCCCAATCGAACTCCAAGTGGTTTCCTTGCAAGTTTGTTGCCTGCTTCGCGATCGCATTAGGTAAGCTTATTCCGATCTCATAACGCGACTTTGACGAGGGGTTGTTGTGTGTAACATTTATATTGCTCTCATATCTAACATTCCCAGTCGGCGATCGCTTCACACTTCGTGAGGATCAAGAACAGCTTCGCGATCTATGGTATGCCTGTGAAAGATCGCATGGCTTTCCTCCCACAGCGACCATTAATCAACTCGAAGACTCGTGGGGTTGGCACAACTCTTGAAACACATGATGCGGCTGTCGCCGACGGCTTCAGCTACCTCATCACGCGTTTGGACTCACCATAAGCCCTGATTGAATGCATTCATGCGCCTCGGGTCGAAATTACCGGGCATATAAGGATTAAATCCCATTCCGAAGTTGAACTGGTCCGGCTCATCTTCATCGAATCCCGCTCCATAGAACGGCATCGGGTTGCTATGGTCAGCTGCATGGCCGGGACGAGCCGGGCCCTCCCACTTCGTGAAATGATGCTTTGGTCTGCGATGTCCCGCTGGCGGCTTCCCTTTGCCGTGCTCTTCGGCTAAATCGTAGACTCTATGCAGCCTTTTGTCGACAGGAAGCCGTTCCTTTATCACCGCATATTCGGCTTTGACGTTCGTCAACAGGGGATATATGCGCACCCGCGTTCGAAAGTCTTTGTCGAGAGTTTTCTTCAGTATGCCACTGAGTTCTCTCGTATAGCTCGAGCCGGCCGGTCGTTCTTCGTCCCATCTTTGACCATGAGGGAATTCTTTGCTTCGCGGCCCTTGAATTCCGGTACATGCGCAGACCATGCTCAAACCTAGTTGCCAGACATCTGAAGGGCCGCAGAGGAGTGGAGCTTCTGGAGCATCGAACCCAGGCGTCCCCCCTGGCCTCATTATAGCGCGTTCTACACTAGGTTCAAGCGACAGATAGTCTTCAGTTACAGCTAATCCAAAGTCGGCAAGCTTCGCTATAATTGTATCCCCTTCTATCGTCAGCAGGATGTTCGCAGGCTTAATGTCGCAATGATATATTCTACTCCAACCCGACTGAAATATCTCGTCATCGGTCATTCTTGGCTGCGGGCCACGGTGACAGTACGTAAGGGCAGCAGACAGTTGATAGAACCATTCCCATATCTTATGTTCGTTGACGTGAGCTCCCATAGCAACATTAAGCGCCACATCTGCCAGGTTACCTACCGAGCAATACTCCAGATATACAGCTCCGTCTGGTTTGTGCTTATCGAAAAAGTGGTCCACCATCTTAGCAATATGTTCGTGGTCCTGGACCTGGTGCAATATCTGGATTTCTTTGCGCGGTACATCATTCTCGAACGCGTCTCTGTTGAAGCGCTTCTCAATGAACACCATACCCCGAGCTTTTGGACTATTACATTGGACTTTGCTTATGCCGCCGTTGAAACCTCCGCCCATGCTACCAAGCTTCTGGATCACTGTCCACTTTTCTCTCGGTTTTGGTTGATAGGTTACGGATAGCTTCTTGCAAATTTTCGGCATCGCAGTCCCAGGATACCGCCGTTGGTGTGGAATATTTAGGGGTGTGGTCAAGGATGGGTCCAGGGAAGATTTGGTTAACGTTGTGGAAGATGGCAAAATGCAGGTTCAACAGACTCATTCTGTTGTTTGAGTAGCCTGCGATCGGTCTCAGCGATCGTTTTGTCACGATAGCCCTTCCATTGTCGTGTTGAAGGCGGAAAGTGCTGCATCATGCTTTTGTGATGCTGGGTATGTAACCTAGAATCCAAAAGTACACCTATCATGCCGATTTATAAATCGACCAGGATGCAATGCGCGTCTCGTGGTTCATATCTGTCTCGCTGATGACTCTTCATGTGACGTGGTGTCTTCAAGCATAGCAAACCTTTTGACTTCAAATAGTGAGAGGAATCACGTACTTCTAGTCACAGAGTAAATAAGGTCATCGTCATCTCGCAACAACTTTACCGCAATATCGCATCAAATGTCACGGAATTTAAGATCTCGCGGGCGTGGTCAACGGAAGGAACCCATCACAGATGATCCCATGGATCTTGATTACTCGCCAGACGATGTGGAGATGCAGGACCCGCCGCCAGAGGCTCTGTCACGCCTCAGACCTCGAAAGCCTCAATCTTCGCAAGCCGTGACTACGGAAGAGTCGCCATTCTGGACAGACCCTTCACATAGAACGCCCTTGCCTAAAAGTTCGGCCCCTCCAGCGTCGTCAAGCTTAAAGACACCTATGACGTTAGATCCTCGGAACAATCATGTTGGCCAGCCTCCCGGGTTTGTTCGTGAAACAGCTCCTCTCATACGTGAGGGTCGCGAGGAACGCTGGCCAGAAGGAGTACTAAGCGGCAGCGCACTGATCCGGATGCTAGAAGATCTATCGCGCAGCACCAAACGCGAACACTGGCAGATCTGCGTCTTACTAGATGGCTTCGCCGCAAGATTTGGTCGCTTCCACAACCCCGATGGTCTCATAGTGGCGGATGCATATGAGACGTACATGCTCATGCTCGCACGTAAACTTTGGGTTGACGAAAAAGGCGAGTTTGCTGGGGGAGATGTTTTGTGGGTACCAGGACTAGAACCTAGAGCCATTACCGATCCGAACTGGGAAGCCAGCGCAAGGCAAAACTTACCGGAGTTACCTGTCAAGCATTACCAGCCGCCTTGGTTGGCGGCGGAGAATCAGTATATGTACCGCGTAATGGAACGGCCACAAAAGGGGGAGGTTGTCTACAAGGGCTGGATTGATGACATGAAACGGGAAAGAGACATCCGAGAGGGTGAGAAAACTCATCAAGGCACGTCCGGCGATGACCCTCTTGTTTCC